CTTGCCCCACCCTAGCTATGCCACTGTGAACAGCTGTGTAACGCGTATTTGCTATGTAAACTGTACTATATATATAATTAAATGTGTTTATTTAAAATGTGGAGCAATTTTGAAGGAGCATACTTCATGCATACAAATGTAGTCAAAAGTCCTTAATCTGGACTCATCGGGACTTCGGCGATTCCGGATTATCGGTTTTTTCAGATTATAGATCATCAGTTTAAATCTGGTAAGATGGCATGCAGAAATTATAAAAAAAATATGAAACCGTAATTTATGAAATAAAGAGCAATTATGATCTAAAGGGTATCAAAATTCAAAAAAAAAAAAAAAAAAAAAAAAAAAAAAAAAAAAAGAGCTTAATATTTATTTCTTTACTTTATTAAACATCTCTTTCAACGTGCACATGCGTAAAGCATACATTACGCATAGTCGAAATTAGAAAACTGCAACTAGAAAACTATTTGATGTGTATTCGTGATATTTATAATGACGAGGAATTTGATTTGGTCAATCTTTGGATTATGGTAACTTGGCGATTTTTTGGCGACCAACCCTGCTACAGCAACCTGCTAGTTTTTTTGGACGCCATTTTGTTTTAACGAAGTAAAGGCATTTTTTTTTTTTTTTAACTCAACATTTTTTTCCAACAATCTGCTAGCCGAATTGCACTTATGCTAGAACTTTTATGGAACAAAAGTGCTTAATCATGATGAAGATTAGATACGAAATTGGGAGAAAGTGCAGAATCGCCCACTGCTTGCCGCGTTTTTAAAAACTGCACATACACGGTATCCATGTACACGTCGACCTATTTTCACTTAAAAAAACATCCCAGAATTGCACAAAAATGGCATTGCGCACACTCTTGACTTTATCCATGTACACTGCTAAAGTCCTAGCTAGTAACCTTTATCGCATTACCAAAATGTCGCCAAACTACCTGTTACCATATTCCGAAGATTAGCCTTTGATTTAAATCATATCAAAGACAGAGTACATCGAGATGAAATACTGCATTTAGTAAGGAATTATAAGCTGAATAAAATAAAAACATCGTGCTGTCAGATCAACTTCCAGTTCATTGCTTCCTAAAAATTCTTCGCTTATATATACATATAATGTATATATTAAAAAAAATAAATAAAAAATAAAAAAACACAAATTAATAAAGTACTTTCCTCAAGAAAGAAGTTCAAGTTTTCCTTGATTACTTTTTATATCCTACAGGGGCGTAGCTAGAGTTTCTAGCGCCCGGGGACAACCGAAGAATTGGCGCCCCTTCCTGTGTGCCAGAAATGGAAAATATTTGGTTGATCTTTACAATATGGTAACTGGTAGTTTGGCGACATTTTGGAGGCGATAAAGGTTACTATCTGGCACTTTGGTAATAATGTGAGCAGTACTCAGTTCCGATTACGCATTATTTTGTGTGAGGGAAATGAGAGATCATGGGATATGTCATGTGATATTAATGGACGAATTACGGTTCTTTAATCGGAAAAGGGGGGAAATCGGGAAAAAATCTGGAAATTTTGTATTTGGCTTTATTCTGTGTTGGTGTGAAACAGTGTTTATGAATTTTGGATCCCATGGCCGTAACTAAAGTGAATTCGAAATGGGTATTTATGTATGTATTAATTTAATGTATGTGCTCATTTATATTTTAAGTAGTGTTTTTGAATTTAATTATATTTTAATTAAATGATAGTTATTTTGTGAATTTTATGTTTGTAGGAATTTGGTATACATTTTAGTTGAAGTAAACGTGCATGGAAATAATTTAAATATCTGACAATAAGTATTTGTAATGGTTGCGGTATGAATTCGTTGGTGACGTGTATAATGTAATAGATGATTTAGAGGTAAAAGTTTTTGGATATTTTATTTATTTTATATGTGGAAATGTTCATTACTTTTTCGCGATCAGGTAATTTCATATATGTTCTTTTTACCGGGTTTAAAGATTGAGAAAATTGTCATGTATTTTCGTGAAATTTTTCTAATTTATGAGAAAAAAGCAGTGTACATGGATATAGTGAAGAGTGTGCGCAATGCCATTTTTGTGCAATTCTGGGATGTTTTTTTAAGTAAAAATAAGTCGGCGTTGTGTTTTGTTTATGGTTTTGTGTATGTGTTATTTTGAAAAACGTTGGGTGTAAGGAGTATGGTATTGTGCACTTTTTTTCCAATTTTGCAGTGAATATTTGTCATGATTAAGCAGTTTTGTTAGATAAAATTTCTAGCATAAGTGTAATTCGCCTAGTAGATTGTTGGAAGAAGTGTTCAGTAGATAAAAAGAAAAGAAACATGTCTTTACTTCGTGAAGACAAAATGGCGGCGGGAAAAAAAAATAGAGGGTTGCTGTAAAAGAGTTAGTCGCCAAATTTTCGCCAAAAAAACGCCAAGTTACCATAATGTAAAGATCAACCAAATATTTCATTAAAAAATTTCGTAGCATCATGGATGCTGCGCCCGGGGACAGATGTCCCCCCTTGCCCCACCCTAGCTACGCCACTGATATCCTAGGTTTTATATATACGAGTTTATAATAAAATAATTAGTTAAATGCTGTGAAATCAAAATGCGATAACTTGGACACCCCCCCTCCCAAGAAGGAAGATCAAACCTTGTTTTATGCTTGATGACTATTAGTTATTTAAAATGTAAACGATAATTAATCAACATCCTAAGTAGAATGATGATAAATATACGAGATCTTGCAGTAATCAGAATCTTTATGACCCTTAATTTCTTCAAAGGCCTTAAATCCTCACATCATATTTAAATTTTCTTTCTATAAACACATTACATTCATAAATGTTGAAATTCATATCCAGTTCAATAATGCACTTAGCCTCTGCTAACATTGCATAAAAGGTGGCTGTAAGTTCATTGAAAAGAAAAAAAAATGCTTCCTGTTTATCCACACTCCCACCAAAATGTATGAAGCAATGCACCACGACTGACTGACTGATAACTTATAGTCAGAATACCACTGAGATCAGTAGTTTATCTGGCTCAATCAAATTCACGCCAGATGGGCACAATAACATAGAACTATCTTCACATAATGTCCGCTGTAAGGAGGAGCTAAGACGGATAAAAAAGCAACCAAGACCAGCAACACAAGAGCTAACTAGCAAGTAACCGGCCAGTAAAGGCGTGACTAAGTCGGAGTCATAAAATAAGTGTAGAATGTGAATAAAACTAGTGAATTTAAGAATTACACAGTACAATAAATAAGTAAGATACAAAATTAAGAATGCTAATAAACACATTAGTAACATTATTTACAGGTGGGCACTACGTGGGAAAGTTTGGGTCCCTGATAAGGTGGGCCGCAAGTGGGCGCAGTTTGGCATCCTCATTCAATATTTCGTAGGTAAAGATATCAAAATTTCTCGTATGGTCACAGTTCAGAGCATGCACCATGTCACCAAAAAAGCACTTATATGATAACCCACAATGTTGCCAAAAAATATCTACGTTTATTATTTACCTATGTTTATTATGTTGAAGTTTCAACTGTTCTTCGTCAATTGTGGCAGCTGCGTCATGCTGAGGTATTACATAATGTTATATTTGTGCAATTATATATTTTTTAGCAAAAACAAATTGCTACGTATATGGGGAGAACAAAAGAGCAATAAAATTGCAAGGATTTCTAAAAAAAAGTAAGGGCTTTACTTTTTTAATGAATGTGAAAAAAATAAGCAGAATCAGATGCTTTGTTGAATCAGACCTAAAGTTACCCAAAGACACATTTCTCTACTTTGAGTTTCTGAATGCTCTCAAAAGACTTTACAATTCAGTGAGAGTGCAGATGATCAGAAAAAGAAATAATGAATCGGGTCAGTGCAAATGAATACCGCATGTGAATTCCAAATTATCATGATGAAAATAATTAAACCAACAAAATCCACATTATATTTAGGAGGAAAAATACTTTGCCACTAGTAATAAATATATACATTAATTAATTCGCAAAGGACTGCTACAAAGAAAAAGGAGTTTGTAAAGCATTAAAATGACTTTGCTAATAAACGTTTTACTTAAATCATGAACCCATGCATATGGATTCTGAACAGTTTCTCACATGCCATGGAAATATAAAAGTAACATAAGAATCAGACATTGCACAAATCTCATGTCTTATGTCTATATATACATACACACATAAACTAATGTTAATTTTTGGGGGAAAATTTTTTGTTTTCCTCCCCCTATAGACAGAAAGGAATAAATTTTGTAACCATTTAAACATTAAACAGAAATTAAACGCATTGAAATGACAGTTATATTATGTTCTAAAAAAAAACAAATATCGGTAATGAGTCATTTCCTTTTGAGTACACATCAGAATATCCTCCATAGTCCCACAATACTATAGAAATGTGCAAAACACAAAGCTTGTCTGTATTCTACGCAAGACAGAAGAAATTCAATAGAAAATATTCATAAGAAATGATTTTTTTTTTTTAAGATTTAAAAATACAGAATAATACTGATGACAAACAAACACATTATAACTAAGAGACAAACTCCTAACCAGTATTGCTTTAAAATATATAACGAATTAATCTGATTTTTTAATGCATATATTTTTTCTGAAGCTCAGTAAGCGTTTTAAACAAAGTTCTCATTGTAAGTTTTCTGACCGTCTGTATTCAATTACAACAAAGTCCATTAGATTATTGTTTATTTTTTTTAACCACAATTTCAGTACTTAATTATGTTACTGTTAATGTGTTGTACTGTTAATGCAAAATCCTACAAATCGAAATTTGTCACATAAGAAAGCAGTTAATAATTCAAAAACTGGCATTTGATATAATATTAAAAAGTAGGTGTTAAAATTGGGTTTAAAAATCCTACTACAGCAATAAAGCTTCAGGTATTAACATACAAATGACTTCTTAAGAATCTTAAAGAAGCAAGACACCTAAATATATACTTTATTTATCATAATAAATTACTCAATTAATAAGAGTACTTACCATGGAAAGTACAAGGCATATGGTTACACAAATCTTGAACACCGTAACAGTATTCTCCATATGCATCAGTCCCTGGTGGGTAGACTTCATTTCCATTGGGCTCGTAATATCCAGCAACCATTGCAGTTATCATTGGAGAATTTCAGATCTGACGCTTTGAACACACTGGAGTAAAGTTGCCGGAGCTGTCAATGAAAACAGCGTGACCCAATACTCTTATGTAACATCAGTTTTGTTGTAACACTTAGTCAGAGCGACAATTATATAGCAAAACAAACAGTTACTATGCTAGGTCCCTTTAAATACTATTTGTCGGAGGCAGTAAAAAGACTTATTTAAACAAACTTAGAAAGCAATATATTTCAAAGAACGACTTTAAAATCGTTACGATCTATTTTAGACATTAATATACTAAATAATCCACTGACAGATACCGGTAAATCTGCATTCGGCTTTTAATGATGACGTTGATGTGTTATTCTAAGACACTACTTGACATCTCTTCCAAAATCCAAAATTGTTCGGAAGCAGAACAAATTACGTTTATCACTCACATACTCTGCGATATCCAACAGAAATACACTCACCAAACTGCTGCTAGTAACAACTTGCACAAAAAATTTCAGATCTACAAGGTACACAGTCCACTTGTGAAACCGCAAGCACTTAACGCAGTATCTTACGAGTTAAACAGCAATGTGCATACTTTACGTAAAACTCATTGCCAATCACTTTACACTGCTCTTGTATAGCCTCGCTAGCAGAGACACCAGGCGACCCAGATTGTAAGTTCATTAAGGCGCTACCTAACGGTCATTAGAAAACGTTTAACGGCTGAATTTGAACGTAATAAATTTCTTATTTCTATTATTATTTTTTTAATTAAAAGTAATCGAAGCTTTGAAACAACAATTATCAATTTTGAAGATTTACAAACATATTGTTGGGTGTGTATGGGTTCGTTACGAAATGAAATCACAAGTCCCATGAAAAATGAACAAAAATTTATTATTATCACAACAGATATGATTAAATGTCCTCAAATGATCTTGCAGTATCACAATATACCACAGTAGTTATCTTCTAACTACTCAAACGTTCAAGAGAACTTAATTCAAAACAGCTAAAGAAAGCTAATCCGCGAATTCGCTACAGTCAACGAGAGCAGTTTTCTAAACAAACTCTTAAAACAACAACAAACTAACTAAAATCATTGACTAACTGAATTGTTCCAAGTTCCAAGTTACACTTATGCCGAGATTATCAAGCATTCTGCTTGATGTGTTCCGGCTGTCATCAGATGTTTGCTCTTTGGGCGCTGAAAAGAGAATAAGTTCGAAGTGTGAGTCCAGAAGGACAGGAGCTAATGGCGAAGGGGCGTGACCAGTTGTCAGGTGGGCTGCAAGCTGACTTATCATTGGTAACGAGGCTTCTGAGAAATAACTCGCTAAAATTGCAATTAAATACACTACAAAACATATATGAATGTAGAAATAGTGAAATTAATTTCAAAAATCAGTCTTCTAAATTATTTACATATGCGTATTAGTCCAAGCTCGTCAGGAGATAAACACAAGGCACAGGAAGAAGAGCCCGTAAATCATGCCAATGTCAATATCGTGATCAATACAAAATTGTTGGAATTCAGCAATTCGATTATGGAATTATGGAGACCATTGGCGTTCCAGAAAACGAAACGGATAGTTGTCAGCCGTCTGGTGTAATTATCCATGAATTTGGGAGTCCGGATTTCGTTCCTGATGTGTAGTTGAGTTTTCATCAATTAATTTCTTGCACAGAAAAGGAATTCCAGATTTTTTGGTGCTACTTTGGTAGACGGTGCACGGATTTTGGCGATTTTCTTTGGCGAGTAATACAACTTATGGTAAACCCATTGCTGGATAAGTTATTTATGGTAACCGATACTTTGTTGCCATTTTATTTAAAAAATAATGCGTTTTATTGTGCATAAATTCCGTGTTTAAAATATTATTTATGGCTTTTAAATATTAAAAATCAATTTAATTTTGCATTTTCATTTGAAATAAAAATTTTATTGTTTATTATATTTTATGAAATTTTATGTTGTGGATGATGTAATCAATGACGTCACCTTACTTTTAAAAGTAATTCGTTTTAATATGTATAAATTTAATCTAATGTTTTAAACATTATTTATGGCTCTTAAATATTAAAATACAATTTTAATTTTGCATTTTTTTTAAAAAATGATTTTATTATGTATGATTTTTTAAATAATTTTAATTCTAGCCGTGATGTAATAAGCTCTCTGATTGGTTATAGAATATTTGTGCATTAACGAGCTGTAATCAGCTCCCTGATTGGTTACTGACAATTTGTGCATTTCCGCGCCGTTTTAAAATTTAATTTATATCTTCGAATTCCTTCAAAGATGTTATCTAAATTATGATTCTGATTTTTTATCGTGGTAGTTATCAATAAACAACAGGTTAAACACTCAAAAAAAATGTAAGTACATATTTTTCTTTTATTTTATAATTGTATACATCAATTTTTGTTAAAAAAAATTAATACACTATTTTCAGAAATTGCTGAGATATTTATTGTCCATATGTTTTAATGTTAATTATATTCTATATAACGTATTTTAAAGTATTTGAATTTAATAATATTCTAATTCTTTTATATGTTGGTATGATGATTTTTAATTCGATATTCAATTTCAGTAATATTTAATCTAATTAAATGTTGGCCCAATGTTTTTATAGCGGGTTGTTTTATTCTCTTCTTGCTATATGAAAGTAATAATAACCTTACTTTAGTATTTTATACTCATAGTAAATGTATTTTTTACACTTGCCTGCCATCTTAAAAAATGACATTTTCAACAAAAAATTAATCCATTACTTTTAACGATATTTATTTATTTATTTTTTAAGTTTCGAATACTTTACTATGCGTAAAAACAGCGTTTTTCAAGATGGCTGACGTTTGTAAAAATCGCGCCAACAATTCGGCCAACGTAAATCGCCAAAAATCCGTGCAACCGTCTACCAAAGTAGCACCGATTCCTTAATGAAGGTGACCAACATACTTAGTTGTTGGAACATTTGTTTGGCCTCTATCATTATTTTCATAGCTTCCGGAGCGAGTCCCGTAGTTAATGCCTGAGCATATGATTTATTCGTCACTATATGTTCATTGAACGTTTTAGCTTTGGGAGTCACTTTCTGCTGTGGAAATTTCTCACAATCCTCTATAGGTTGGCTGTGTGTCCAATTTGCAAACAATTGGCACATTTCGGATGGTTCAGATTTATCCTTTTCAACAACTAAAAAGTTTCGTGCGCCTCAGTGCAACGAATACAACGCGGCTCGTGATTGCAGTTCTTTTGCGAGAGTGGAACCCATTGGCAGCGATAACACTGCAAGGGTCCCGCTCTGCCCGTTGTAATCCTCAACTTTGATTTTCATTCCCATAAGGAAAGATTCTATGATGGATTCTCTTATTTTTGTCATTTCTCTTAAGAGTAATGAGAAAGAGGGGGAGGTTGATTTACATCACCATTTCTTCGTCTTTTCAATTGGTTGACACGGATGGACGTCATAATTTTTGGCGACTAATTCTTCAGCAATTTCATTAATGTCCATGTAAGCCCGGTAAATGCCGGATTATACTTTTAAATTTTTAGGTGCAGGTAGCTCAAAACAGTGGAAACTCACCTTTTCATCTTTCAAAATTTTCTGGACTTGTTTAAAAATAGTAGATATTTTTACCAATATCTTGAATCCGTCCTGGATTTGCTTACCGAAATAGTCACTTTCAGAGTAGAGTCCATGCTTCTTTAAGAGCTCTCTAGCTTTATTCCAGTTGAAGTTGGTATCTCTTACAATAAAGGGCGGAAGCCGTCCACCATTCTTGTTAGGATTTACTGATTCCGGTGGAATTTCATCTATTTTTCCATCATCAATGGGTGCTGTTTCCATAGATTCTGGTTCAGCAGTGCTGGGATCATCTATGGGCGATAATTGAATTGAAAGGTTTCCTCCTTTATAAGATTTTTAAATCGTGCGCGAGAACTTTCTGGAACTTTCTCGAAATCAAAAAGAGATATTTATTAAATGTTACATGCACGCGCTCTTGTATATTTTCCATTTTCCGGCTTAGCTTTCTTATAATATTCGTCACGTGCTGCACTGCGCGAGAAATAAAACCATTTAATTTACAATTGAACTAACATTAGCTATTTAAATACCAAATCCGTAACAATATTTTGAAAGTAAAGTAAGAACAGGTCAGTGATGCAAAGTTTTCAATATTAACGCAGAACTGCAGTTTCTTTGATGAAATTTGGGCATTTTTCTGTTTAGAAACGTTCCTTTTCATTTTTAAACTTGGAAATTTTAAATGTAAAGTATATATGGCATTAACCAAGTATCTTTGCAAAACATTTGTGCAGCTTTCAAAATACAAACGAAAATACATACTGCTTCAAATTCGAATTAAAGAAGCTTTGTGACTTTTATTTGAACAAGAAACTTTATTTTGCATTACATACGCGTAATAATCGGATTTAAAGAAATGAATTTTACGGTAATTCATATTTCCTTTCCAGCACTTCTGTTCCCCCCCTTTTTTTTTTCAAATATCAGCATCGGGATTTTATTTTTTATTTATTTATTTTTCTTTTATAGTATTGATCATCTTTTTTGAAAAATGCTTATCCTCGAAAATGGTATTTTGAGCTATAAAAAACAACTTATTCGAGACGTCCTGAAAGTGAACTCACATAAGTATTCAGACACTTTGAACAAATAATTCAGATTTAATAAAAACATTGAAAATAACCAACATTCAATATTTCATTGGATAATCTTTAGCCATGGATTTAATTCATTTTTTCGTGTAAAAATGTTCCATTTTTATTCCATTTCTCAGGTAATTTGCTTTTGGTCCATTTGCTTTTGGTCTCAGTTAATTTGCATTTCTATTTCTCAGTTAATTTGCTTTCAAAGAAATGTCATATTTCTTTATTTCTTTCTTGTGCTCAGTCCATACATGTTCGACAGAAATTCAGTCTGCAGAATGCGGACTAATTTCGATAACTTCAGGCCAGTTCTATAATGCCCCAAATGAACATTTGGGATCGTAGATTTAGGATCATTATCCTGATAGGACTTGAATGCATTTTGTATCTTTATGTTTCTTGCAGATGCTTTCAGGTATTCATTATGTTATTTAAATGGTTATACTGAGTGAAACAGTGTGTGAGCAGAAACTAAGTGAAACAGTGTACGAGCAGAAAGCAGGACGGGCTAGTTAAGCTCCCGATTTTCTTTATTGAACTGAAGTGCAACCTAGAAGGTGAGCAGATTCATCGGCTGAATAATATGTTCAGTTTTGACATACGTGTCGAAAAATACAAGCTAAGAAAAGGGCCTGTGCAGTAGTGTTTCCGTTGCCAGGCCTTTGGTCATACCCAGCACATGTGCAACAATCCAGAACGTTGTATGAAATGTAGTGGAGCTCATCGGAGCAATTCCTGCTCCAAAAAACCTGAAGAAAAACCGTGCTACATGTACTGCGGAAAAGACCATGTGAGTAGCTTTCGTGGATGTGAGGCCTACAAAAGGAGATTCCAGAAGAAGGTAACACCAAAAATTCAGCGGCAATCTGCACCGGAAGTGACTTTGGCGAATTTTCCAAAATTTCCCAGGAGTGACA